AGGCAAATTATGACTTTACCCAAGCCTCAGCTTTTCAGTCTGTTAAAACGAAAGCTTCCCTTCTCACTGTATACATTCTTTATAGGCAATCTTATTCACACCTATGTCCTCAATTACTATCTACATGCCTATGTTTCTCAAATTTATGTCTAAAATAAACAGTTAAGTTCCAGATCCTGCTGTCCAACTGCCTACGCAAAATTACTACTCAGATATTTAAAAAACCCTCAAATTCAAGATATCCAAAACCTTGGTATTTTTCCTTCTCCTTCTCCCCAAAACTCTTTCTTCCAGTACTCATTATCCCAGAAAGTGGGATAAGCACCTAACTGGTTACATAAGCCGCAAACCTGGGGACCACTCTTGGCACCTCCTTTGCCCTCAAGTTCTGCTAATTCTACTTCAACATATATCTCAAATTTCCCACTTCTCCCATCTCTACTATCATTCATCATGTGGGTGGCTACAAGGGTCTGTACGAAGGTGTTCTTCACAGCACAACCAGAGCATTCTTCTGAAATATAAATCTGATTACTGTCACTCACCTGTGTAAATCTTTTAAATCTCTCCCACGCCCACCCCCACCCCAGTATTTAGAGTAACATCCAAAATCCTGGTCTACAAAGCCCTACACAGTCTGGTTAGTCTCTCTCCCTCTCACCTCCAGGCAGGCTTTCATGTAGTTCCTAAATAGTGCCATACTCCTTCCCCCATCAAAGCTTTAAAGTCCACTGTTGTTGGGCACACTCTCTACCTACATAACTCCTATCACTCCTGTTAACTCCTGTAAGAACTGGTTTCACCTCAAGCATTCCTCCTCTCCATGATACCTTCATTCTTATTCAAGTCTCCCTACTACAGTTCCTGGTTCCCTGTATTTTTTTCTTCAGTGCTCATAAAATTTGTGTTACAAAATAGTATATTATTGAATTCACATTGGTCTGCACCATTAAACTGCAATCTCCATAAGGCCAGGCTCCTGTCAGTCTTGCTTACCATTATATGTTGAAAGCCCAGCCCAATGCCTCACACATAGTAGGCACTCAATAAATCTGCTTAATGAGCATACGACATTGGGATAATTAAACAGCAAAATTAAAAAAAAAAGTGAAACATAGCAAAGACCACAAAAAAAAGTGCTCAATAAATCTCGTTTCAATATTAATTGCACTAACCTCTACTAACATATGAATAGCTATTTAACTCTCAAAAAATTATTTGGCATTTTTAGAAGTGTTAATCCAAATATATAACCAAATAGATGAACTCCAGGTCTGAATGGTAATATCCCTAAAATGCTTTTGTTTTTCATTACAGTAAGCCCTCATTTAGTGTCATCAATAGGTTCTGGTTCTGCAACCGGAAGCTAACATGAAGTATAATGAAACCAATTTTACCAAAGGTTAATTGATGTGAACAAGAGTGAAGCTCCTAGAGCATCTCATTAGAGCATGTAATAATGAAATGTTGAATGCAACAACTTTATTCAGCAGCTTGCTATATTTTCTTCATCATTTATTTCCAAACCCCTAAAATTCCCATTTCCACAATAGTGGCAGCAATAGCTGTGGGTGGGGACAACCATAGAGTATATGGTAGTCCAAGTCAGGAACTACATGTAAAATGTTTTTCAATTAGTCTCCTGAAAGAGATAATTGATGCAAAGCAAAATCCTAGTACTTAAGGCATCCTCAAGAATTATTTCTAGTGTTTCCAATTCATGATGTTCTAAAAAGATCAGTGCTCATACAGAAGAGACTAATTTTCTCAACAGGGTGCTCTTGAAACACAGGTAAGAGAATGAAGAGAGGAGAAGAAATTGAGATTCACCAAAGCACCAGCTGGGGAAATGTAGTTCGGGTTACCCTCCACCCTATCCCAAGGTAGCTAAGTGTTAACAGCAACACGTACCTCTAGGCTCAGCAATCTCACAGGGGAGAACTAAGGATCCCTGGTATGTGTGGGAGTGGGGTGGGGGAGTGAGGAGGGATTCTTTCCAGAGTGGGCCCCAAACAATACTAGCATTTGTAACAAGATCGGATAGTCTGTCCACTCCCTAAAAACTCTAAAACAAAGCCTGCTAGCCGATGTATCATACCCTAAAACAGTTTGCTAAATCAGCCTTCTCATTCAAGGGTACCCACATAGGTACCTGTATCAATCATTATTAATCCTTCATGTTTAAATATGATTAGTTAACTAGGTTCCTATAGAAAACCAGCAGGTTTAAGATGAGGATCAAGATAAACAACACTATTAATCTTGAGAAGAGCAAAGATATGAAATTCTAATTAATATTCTCAGGTGGCTTCCTTAAGATATTGAAGATATAAAATAGAAGCAGGTTGTTATTAAAAATAGCAACTGGAGAACAATACAAAATTTACAGAATTTTACACCTCTTAAGAGTTTAATAAATGTTAAAACGGGGTTCATGGAAATTAAAGCCGTAGTGAGATATCTATCTATCTACCAATCATCTATCACCAACACCAGGCAATTCACTAGAACTTAGAATATAAAGAAAGTTGAAGCCATGAGAGAAAAGCTAAGTGACTCACAGAAGTACTACCCAAAAGGGGGTGTGTGTGGAATACAATCAATGGGATTCACAAAATGATCCATAGAGATTCAGGAAGAAAACACTAAAGCTTCTAGATAGAGGGTTTTGTTTGTTTGTTTGTTTTTTGTATCTCGTCAAGATTATATTAGGGTAGATTTATAGAGTATATATAAGATTATATTAGGGTAGATTTATAATGTAAATAAAGTAATTAATTAGCACAGAGGTACATTTATAAGTTCTTAAAAGTGTGCATATACATATATTGTAGTACATGCATACTTCTTTAACAGATCATATTTTGGAAATCATGGACACACACGATCAATCTAAATAAAACAATATTCATATAACAGATATCAAAAAAGAAAAAAAAACAGGAAAAAAATGAAGAAATTCCCAGAACTGAAGAATTTTTTTAACAGAAAGGCCCACTGAGTGCCAGGCCAGATTGTGGCGGGGGGGAGAGGGGTAGACAGTGGGAAAAAGGGTAAGACCCACACCTGCACAAAGCCTTGAGAATTTTAAGATAAGGCCAAGATCCTGAAAGCTTCCACGAAGGGAAAAGCAGGATATGTTCAAGTACAAAAATCAGATGTCCTGCGGGTTTGTATTAGTAACAAAGGATGCCAGAAAAAAAATGTAGCACCACCTTCACAGTCTCGAAGGAAAAGGATTTTGAACAGCCTTCTATAAGCCAAACTAAAGATCAAACATTAAGCAACATTAAGGGTTTTCCACCGAATCACCTATTCTCTCTCATCTACCATCACTCTTAACCTGTACATCATTGCCTAATATCTAATTCTTTTTCAAAAGTTTTAGATAAATATTTATTGCACTTAAATAAATGTTGGTTCTTGGTCTTCTTACATGCCTATCTGCATGCATTTAGATATATATGTCAAAAAATGTTAATAGTTCCATCTGTTAAACAATAGGAAATTAAATGTACTTCTTCAAAACATGCAAAGAACTACAGCAAAAAAAAAAAATTCCCAAGTTTGGCATGTTGGACTTCTCACACCTCTCCTTCTGCAGGTAGCTAAATTGTGCTATCCACATAAGATGACATTTTTAAACTACAACTCTATGGACTCCGTAGTAACTTTAGAAACAATTTAGCCTAACAGCATCCAATTGAATAAACAAATATCAGTTATTTATGTTTGTTTTTAAACTCAATTTTAAAGTTTTTCCTACATATCTTAACTGCTTCAGCAAAGTATGTTGTTTTCTGCAGTCTTTTCTATTTTTATTTAAAGAAAATTAGATACATTTCCCCAGTAAATACAGAGTAGAAATAAAAAGGTTGTAAATAACTTTAGTACCAAGGGCTGTGGATTTACTCAGAAATTAAAGTTCCATGATTAGGAATAATTTATTTAATTATTCTGGTCGACAAAAACTATAATTATTGTATGCCATCCAGTTCTGAATGTAAATTCAAGCTAAGCTTCATGAAATAAATGGATTCTATTCCTTATAGACACTATAAATTACCTATACAACTTAAAACGTTCTGAAAAAAATTCAAGACAGGTGTTTACAGGTTAATTTAGGAAAATCAAGTTTTGTCTAACCTTGCTTAATGTGTATTGCTTCCCATCAAATGCCTGAAATGAGTTAACTCTGAAGGTATCTAAGGATATTAAAATACAACTACATGTAAAGATAAAGTCATTTTAATTTCATTAAAGTCATTAATGCATATAGTAACCCATTGAAATGAAAAGACTTCTATGATTTCCTACTTAGGATTAAACCAAGCTAGGGCAACAATAACAGTGTGATTAAAAAAGCAGTTCCACATTTACTACCGCGCATCCCAAACCAAGCCTCCTTCCCTAGCCTCTGAAAACAAAAAACAAAAAACTGCCAGCTATTAAGAAGGTATCTCTGATCACCATCTCTGACACCGTATGCGTCACTGCTCCAGGTCTGATTCCAAAATCCCGGTTCACTCAGCGGATCAGGGAAAGAGCCAGAGTCTCCCTCACTCCGGGAGAAGAGCAAAAGCACCTGCAGGAGCAACGTAGGCCTGGCGTGGAGGTAGAAGAAGGAGTTAAGAGAAGCGGAAAGGATGACACAGAGGTAGAAAGAGACCGGGGAGGGAGAGGGCAAAAACAAGAAGCAACCAGAGACAGAGATAACACCGAGGTCAGAAGGGTAAAGGGGCAGGGACAATGGAGACAGGCCAAGACTGAAAGGCGCCCAGAATCTTCCAGTGGCAGAGGAACAAGGACAAGGGCCAGTACTGGAGCTGGCACCTCCGGTAAGCCCAGTCAGGGCTCCTGTCATTTCGGGTCCTCCAATATCCTTCAATCGCCGTCCGTCTGTACTGAGAATTATTTGCACATTCTGATACTAGTGATGGGGCAAACTCGTTTTTCGGAGGCCCTAGAAATAACGGGGCCAGGTCAGAGCCTACACTTACCAGGCCACGGCGGCCCGGCGTAGACGCCACATCTCTCCTCTCCAGCGAGGAGGTCACACAGGCGCTGAGACGGCCACGCGGGAGTCTGGTGTCAGTCCCAGTCCGGCTTCTGCTCTAGGAATGACCCAGGAAAAGTCCCTGGGTAACAAGGACACAGGGAAGCCACTGCAACCCTCCCAATGGCGCATGGACTTCCGCAAGAGCCCTCTCGGCACCCGTACTCGGTCCGTCAGGCAAACAGCCACCTCACCCTTTCTAGGGGAGCAGCACAGAAGGTCCGAGGAGGACTAGCGCATGCGCTCAGAGTCTTGAATTTATTTTTCGTCCCCAACCCGTTCGACTTCTTGGTTCATTTGGATTGAAATACTGAGCCTTGGGGGTTACATGCTTGAGAAAGGGAGGGGTCGAGAGTTGGGGAGGGACGGACTGCTGTAGGTGAGGGGCTGGGAATCCGGTTTATAAAATCTCACGGCGGGATACCAATTGAAGAAAATTTAGGTATTGGGGCATGAAGGTCCTAGAGAGTACAAAATGAAGGCAGTAATAGAGTAATAAAGACTAACGGTTACTCCTTTGCTCCACTCCTCAATTCGGCGTCTTTGTTTGCAGAGCGTTTTCATATCCTTAGAACGACCTCAGGGAGGCAGGAGGAGGAGTGCTCAGCACTCTCCTTAGTCAGCTTCCCTTTCCTGGCTTTTAGGACGTTGCATTCTCCTTTTTGTCCAGGAGTTGCTGCTCCCTACTCTGCTTTGCTGGTTCCTCCTCCTCTTCCAAACCTCTCAAGGTTGGAGGGTCCCAGATCTCAGTGATTTTAGGCCCCTTCCCTTTCTATCTTCACTCTCCCTAAGTAATCTAAGTCAGCTCTAGGGCTTTAAATATCTCCCCCCGCCCCCGCAACTCTTGTCATTTTATGTTTTATGAGGAACTGGGGCCCATAAAAGGAAAGTGGCTTGGGAAAGGTAATGAAGGCAATTACTCCTGTGCCTCTGCTTCACTTCAAGGGCACCCCCCGCTTCCCGCACACACACAAAGCATAAAACAATTCCTTTCAGCTCAGAATCCTAAGTTAGTATCCATCTATTCACAACACCAAGGACAGACCCAGCCACTGGTAGCAAATTTCCCAAATGCAGGACTCCGGGAATTTTCTTTATTATATTTTTTGTAGTGACTTTTAATAGTAGGTCCAAATAGAAACTTGCTATAATGACTTGTGCAAACTGTAGCTCTTTCCAGGATTGTAAAGTAGCATAACAATTTCTTCGTTACCATTATTTCCTTGTTGTTTTTGGAAAAAAAAGAAAAAGAGAGAGGAACCAAGTAACAGTCCCTTTCATATATGGGTTATCTTTGCCTTTTACACAGCCCTTGTTTTGCAATTATACTTCTAGGCATCTATTCTATTGAAATACTCCATGTATGTGCAAAAATGTATATACGATGGTGCTTATTCATTGCATTAAATAGCAAAATGTGTGAATCAACATAGTTAAAGGATGAACTGAGGCAAATTAAAAATTTTAGGAGTTTATTTGATCAGCAATTGATTTAAGTCAGGCAGTGCCAAACTGGAAGTAGTTAGGAGAGCTCCACCTACAGGAGATAGGGGGCAGACTTCTCTAGGGACAAGGAGGTAAAGCAAGAAAATGATTGATCAACTATAGCTTAAGTTGTTGCCTTATATAGGAAAGGCTACTTGGTTGATTGTATTGGTTTTCTTAGATTTTGATTTATTAACCTTAAAACATTTACAGCCTTAGGTTTTGGTTTGTTTAGTAGGCTGACAAGACAGAACCATCTCAGTCTAATGGTCCCTTTGATTAGTTTAACATAAATGTCCATAGATAAGAATAAATTAAATAAATTATATTGTCACTAGCCAAAAAGCCTATGAGTTAGACCTCTTTGCCCTAATAAGGAACAATCTCTAATATATAGTATCACATGAGGAAAAAAGGCAGAATATTAGTAATCACACTGCCACCATTGATCCAAAGGCAGCCTGCAGACCTGTTCTGTTTGGCTTGTGTTGGCCTATTCAGGATTTTAAAAATACTATTGGGTTTGCTGCCAACATTAAAAAACCAAGGAATTTTACAGTAGAAAAATTCTGGTTTCTCTTAAAATATCAGGTCTGACACATTAAGCCTACATACAAAAATAAAAAATATACAGGTGAAACAGGGAGCCAGATAGTAGTTCTGTCCTTCAGGCATGCATCACTTCTCCAGGAGTTCACATTTTTTCTTCAAGTCTTTAGTAAAATCAGAGGAAAAGGAACCACTACTTATTTTATGTCAAAAGTGAAAAAATGAAAGACCAAGAGGGTTAGATGTTTCCAGACTAAAAAAAAAAAAAGAACTTTTTGTGTTTTTTTCAGAAGTAAAGGATATAACTATGCAAATAAATTATGTGGTGTTGGAAGAATACAATTTAAGATGGTATTATTCAACAAGCATACGTACACTATCCATCTTACATGCCTGACCCAAGAAAGTGTTTTAAGTTGATGCACCCTGGTGAAGTACAGTGTAATACTGTGATTTATAATAAGAAGTATGTATTTGGTCTTAGTCCTCTCTCCTTGCTCACAGCTCCCCAAGTCAGAATGAGACCATGCTGGCACCTTAATCTTGGATTTTCCAGCCTCCAGAACTGTCAGAAATAAATTTGTTTTCCTTATAAGTTACCCAGTTTATGATATTTTGTTAGGGCAGCCCAAAAGGACTGATACAACCCAATTAAAAATTAACAAACACTCTACAAGATATATGCATATATATGTATGTGTGTGTCTAGCCAAAGAACACATAAACAAAATGTCAATGTTATTAGTCATCAGAGAAATACATATTAAAACCATGTGGAGATACAAATACATCTCCACTAAAACTGCTAAAATTAAAAAAACAAACAAACCCTGCCAATACTAAGTTTTGTGAGGGTGTGGGGCAATCAGAACTCTCAGACACTGCTGGGGTAGGGGAGGGATGTGAAATGGTACGACCACTAAAAACTACTTGGCATTTCTTACAAAATTAAACAAGTACCTCCCTTTGGTCCAGCATGTCCACTCTCAGGGATTTATCTGAGAAATAAAAACATGTTTTTAAAAAGACTTGTACAAAGATGTTCAAAGCAGTTTTATTCACAGTAGCCCAAACCAAATATGTTAATTAACAAGAAAACAGAAAAAAACAGATAAATAAATTTATACAAGGTAATACAACAAACAGGAATGAATTGCTAATGCATGTAACCACATGAAGGAGCCTAACAGACATGCTGAACTCCAAAAAGGACATTCTATCTGATTCCACTTGTACAGTGTTTTAGAATGGAGAAAATGGGTGTTGGGGGTGGGAAAGGAACTTTGGACAACATTCTAGGGAAATGAAAATGTTTATGACAAGAGTCTGAGTTAAATGGATACATCCATTTGTCAAAATGTACAACTAAGATTTGTGCATTTCAAATTTCAGATAAATATAGATTTACATAACTCTATAAAAATAATGAGTGGGAGTGTGGAAGTAAGTGGAGATTGAATGAAACAAGGGCCCTAAATGCTGATAATTGTGGGAGCTGGGTGGTAAGTACCTGAGGGTTCATTATACTTCTCTGTTAACTTTACATGTGCTTGAAAGTTTTCATTATACAAATTTTAAAATGTCTCATGTTTCTTGTAAAAATAATATAAGAAAAAAATGAAATGCATTTAACAGAATGGCAGCCTCGTTAGTGTGAGAATGAGGAGCAGAAGATGAATATGAATGGAAAAAAATCACTTGTGTGCCAAGTGGAACTTCTTTCAGCTGGATTAGTTTCCTATTGCCGAATTTATAAATTACTCCAAATGCAATACCTTAAAACAAAACAAATTTATTTTCTTACAGTTCTGAAGGTCAGAAATAAAAAATAGATCTTTCTGAGCTAAAAGCCAGTGTGCACAGTGTGGTACTTATCTGATGGCTCCAGGAAATACATTTTCTTGCCTTTTTCTAGCTATCAGTGGTTTCCCACATTCCTTGGCTTGTGACTCATTTCTGCCTTCAAAGCCAGCAATAGCTGGTTTAATCTTTCTAACATTATATCACTCTGACAACTAACTCTTCTGCCCACCTTTTCCCTATTTAGGAATCATTATGATTACATTGTGTCCACCCAGATGATTTAAGATAATCTTGTTTGAACTTGGATTACATCTACATCCTTAATTCCCTTTTGTCAAACCCACAGGTTCCCACGAAGATGCAGATTTCTCTGGGCTGGGCGCTGGGGCGTTATTCTACGTACTGCATAGCTCCATATAAATTCTGTTCACTGATCTCTCTCTGATAATAAAGGAGTGTGTGTGTGTGTGTGTGTGTGTGTGTGTGTGTTGAGTATCAAGTTTATCCATCCCAGCCACACCTGGATTAAAGTATAGCTTTAATACTTTAAGAAAGACAACGGGGTAGGAGAGAGGATTGAATGCTAGAGATGGGGAGTAGGTAGAGCAGGGGAGAGTAATAGGGGAAAACTGTAATTGAACAACAACAACAAAAAGATAACTGGCCAGGACTTTCAAAGTGAATGTTACATACTCTGAGAGCAATTCCAAAATAATATTTCCAGAATTTTAAAAATGAAATGTGTCATTGGAATAAAAAAATAAAATTGTGCTTCTAATCTTTATTCTTCATTTTGATTATTTTTTTATTTTTAATTATTTTTATGTCTGTGTCTTGTTTTCCTGCAGTCTAAAAAAAAATCTCAAGTTTGCTTTCCATGTCACAAATTTAATTTCTGGCAGTGGCACTTTTAGCTATTCCTGCCTCCTAAGTAGTTGAAAAAATATGTACTCTTGCATTATAAATCTTGAAATGTTTCCTTTATTTATCTTTATTGCTTTATGTGCCTGTATTTTAGAAGTCAAGCTTTCTTTTTTTTCATTACATTAAAGATGCAAAATTAGCCCTGACCCATGTGGCTGAGTGGATTGAGGGCTGGCCTGGGAATCAAAAGCTCGCAGGTTCTATTCCCAGTAAGGGCACATGCCTGGGTTACAAGCCAGGACCCTAGCTGGGGGTGCACAAAAGGCAACTGATTGATATATCTCTCACATATCATTGTTTCTATCCCTCTCCTTCCCTTCCTCTTGCTCTAAAAATAAATAAATAAAATCTTTTTAAAAAAAGGATGTAAAATTGTTGTCTAGAGTTTTTCTTGTCTATACAGTAAATAAACTCAGAGATAACAAA